AGGCCCAATGTTGCAGATTTTCAGGCCAAATGTCAACAATTTTTAGAAGCCGACACATAACTCGGGAACCAAGAGAGCAGTGTAGAAAGATATGCGGCCTCAAACCTTAGCTGGTCCGTCTTACCCCACCTTCCCCTACCTAGTCGAACGCAACATTTTTTTTTATCATTTGCGGCAAAACATAATTATTCAACATAGCTTTACGTACCTACCTATATTGGTATGATTAAATTGCATGTCATTTATATTAATTTGCTTTTCATTTATTTTAAATCGCATGTCAGTTGTTTTAAGCTGAATGTCACGTGTTTTAACCCGCCTGTCAATTGTTTTAATTCAGAAATCAACTGTTTTAAATTGGACTTCATTTGTCTTAAAATGCATCGAAAATGGTGAGTGACCTGACCTTTGGCCTGACCAAAAAATTGACTGACGTGATTTCGTCATTATTTTTTACGCTCTTTCGAACGCCGCCTTCCGCGTATCGCTACGTGGCCCAGGAGCCGAGTTACAAGGGGGGGGTGTTCAAACACCCCCCCCCCCCAGCAGGGCGTGGAAATCCAGGACCCCCAGCCGGGCGCGGGTTAACACGCGCAGTGGAAGGGTTGCGAGTACTACGCCCAGTGGAAGGGGGGGGCGGATGTCGCCCCCCCTAAGATCTCAGTTCCCACTGGAGCTAGAAAGACGAAATTTGGAGGGTAGGTGGGAACCATGGGGAACTCTGTTGTGTGTGAATTTCATGACCCTTGGTCAATATCTTCAAGGTCAAATGAGGTCAAATGTGGTCAAATTTGCCATATTAGCGACTTTTTTGCGTTTACACGCCGATAACTCAAAAAGTTATCGGCCGATTTTCTTAAATCTTTCACTATACGAAAGAACAAACATTTGTGAGTATGTATGGTGAATTTCTAGATAATCCAACAATAAATATGGCAGTTAGAAGCCTGCTAAGGGTAAGATGTCGCCGGCTGAAGCGGGATCGGCCGACGCGGGAAACGCGGCAATCACAATTTTGTGTTTACACACTCATAACTCAAGTTGTTACCGGCCGATTTTCAAAATTCTTTGACCATATGATTGCCTGTACATTTCTCAGTCTTCTCACCGAATTTGACGCGAATCTAATGTAATCAGCGGTAAGGAGCGCGATGTAAAGACGGAACCGTCCCGCCCCGGCACAGTCTACAATTCAGGCGGCGCGTAACGGCTAGCGTCGGCCGCCGCGCCGCCGCGCCGCCGCGGCGGCAGGATGTTTGACTTTACACCGCTATTACTAGAAAAGTTGTGTACCGATTTTCTTACTTCTTGCACGAGAAGATCCGAAATTCAATTCTGGACAGGTAGCCGAAATTTCACATTGATATTATGCTTGCGGCGCGAGTTATTGGCGAAAAACAGGAGGGGTGGGCGAAATCCGCCCCCCTTCCACTGCGCTTGTTAAAGTTGAATTTTGAGTTCACAGGTCGGGTCAAGGTCAGGTCAAACACCTGAAATCGGGCTTCCATTAGCATGGACTTCAGGACTTAGCAATGGGCGCCTCTCGTCATAAACTCTGTCAAAACGGTGCACAATCCTTCATATAAGGCCTTCAAGAGTGTCAGTTCCATGTAGGGGTCAGTCAAGCATAGGTCAGGGTCAAGGTCAGGTCAACCGGGTAGGCACATATCCCCGAAAATCAAAACTGATATTCGCAGCCTCTGACACATGTTTTATGTGTAATTTTGGGCGTAGAACACGATGGTGACATTCATTTTATCATATGTGTAGTGTTTGGTTCAAAAATTTCAATTTAAGACATGCATGTATCATGGTCGTGAAGTAGTCACGAGAAATTGCCAAGATTCAGTTCAAAATTTTGAAAAATGCGGGATGATAATCAATAATCGAAGATAGCCATTTAATTGTTCATGGTATTGGCAGTCTAATGGCGTTGACGGCATGTCTGTATGTGTATTCTGTGATTTTATATGATTTTTTGAACATATGCTGTTTTTGGTCGAAAACTCAGAAATCATGATGTCACTAAAACCTCGATATCTTAAAAAAATTTCCGACCGATTTTTTTAAACTCTGTCACAATAAACTTCAATCAATTCCCTACAGGTACCCAAATTTTGGCGCGCCTGCGGCGCACCGTTTGTATGCTATGGCTCGGCGAAAAAAGTGGGGGCGTTTGACGCCCCCCCCCCCCCCACAGCAACTCGCGGGTTAAGCCGCAATAGGCCGATATCCTTAAGGTGGCGCAATATGACTTCACTCCCCTACTCACATTTGGTTGGCTTTGTGAATGCTAGTAAGGATCACTGCCAAAAATGAGATAGATATCAGTTTACAATTAAAATGAAGCCTTAATAATTGTCTCTATCTAAGTTGTCTAGAAAGACCAAAACCATCACATCTTTCTTTTCCGATGGTTCAAAATCGCTAATTCGTGGTCGCGCATGACGTCGCAAATAACTATTCGTAAACAACATGAAAAAATGAAGTTTTCATTCAATTCGAGGCGCTGAATGAATAGTAACAGATTTAAAATAATATGAAAAATTGATCTTTTTAGCCAGAAAATGATAAAATGATATAAGTCAAGAAAATATAAAATGATATAGTTTCAAATCAGAATTGCATGACGTCATTAACGTGGACAAATGTTTCTCGAGAATGAATAGATAGCAGTAGTATTTGCAACTTATTAGGAATTTCTGACGACAATCATGTTTGCTACCATATCCCAGACGTAAAGAGCTACCATAGCTATAAACCGCTACCGTAACGCAAATCAACTGGAAAGCGACGTTTTAATTGATTTTGCAATTTATCTAAGCGCAAACATACATTTTTTAGGCTTGGTTTTGACCTTCCAGGTCAGGCCAATGACCCGAAAACCGGGAAAATCGGGACCTGTTAGAAAGTCGTAAAGTGTGGCTGCTATGTGGTTTTCCGGGGTGCTAATCACGAATATTGTGTTAGTTTTGATCACAGATGATGTCTTTAAGCATTTAGACCAGGTCGGGTCAGGTCAGGTCAGGTCAGGGTTGTGACGGGTATTCGTAATCGTAATACGTGTCAACCGCTGATCACCTGTTCGGTCACCCTGATCGGCACAGCACCGGTCCTCTTTCCAGCAGCCTGCAGCAGCCGCCTCCTGCGGGCTGTGACAGCCAACCGAAACAGCTGTCTGAGTTAGCCCACCGGGCCCAGCAGTATCTAATGATAACTTATTAGATAAGTATTTTTTTAGTCTGATCGGTCACCCTGATCGGCACAGCACCGGTCCTCTTTCCAGCAGCCTGCAGCAGCCGCCTCCTGCGGGCTGTGACAGCCAACCGAAACAGCTGTCTGAGTTAGCCCACCGGGCCCAGCAGTATCTAATGATAACTTATTAGATAAGTATTTTTTAGTCATGGTGTATAACATTTTTTGGATCTTGCTTTGCAGCGCTAAGTTTGGCGGGCTGTAACTCTAAGACGGATTATTCAAATGCCAAATGTTAAACATTGAACTTGCAATGAAACAGAGATTAATATGTATTTTGAAATTTCGAAAAATACGCTATTTTTGACATATGACATATCGAGTTTTCTTTCATTTGTATTTTTTGGACTTTAGGACCAAACTTTTTGAATTTTTATTTCTTAAAAAAAAATATTTGGCTCATTGTCAAGAAGAATGCAAAAAATTAGGGAGGTGTTCTTTCTATAAATGTATTTATTTTATGTCACGATAACGGTTTCGAATAGTGATTTCGGGAGGGGGGCTTACAAATGGCGTGGTATAGCTGCCTAGTGACATCACGGGTTACTGAAATTTTTATTGAAGTCTGAGTCATCTGAAAAAATAAAAAGAGGGTTCATCCAGCCCTCTTTCATATAAGCGCGAGAATGAACAAGGCTGTTTGGTTCTGACATTGTTTTGGACGCCAATGACCATAGCTGTCCGAGATGAAAGTTGCAGGACACATACATCGACACCTTTTTTTTTAACCCCACATCTGCTCTCCCGTGAATTTCCGGGAGGCACGAAAGATCTCCTTTTAAAAGTGTCCAATCGTCCGATCCTGATCAAATATGTGTGTTCGTAGGCCTGTTCTGGTATTGCTTTATATGCCAAGACAGACAAACTTGAGAAAAATCGAGTGATTGTACCTTTTTTGAAGGTCTCTAAGCAACTTGTCTGAAATTCACCGGAGAACAAATGTGGGGTTTAAAAAAAAAAGGTGTCGACGTCCTCCAGAGACTTGCATATCTGGGAATTTTTTACGGTCATATGAGGTCAGGTCGGACAAGTGACATCACTGTTATAAGTCAATGGGGAAATATAAAAACTGTTATTTTGGCGCCAATAATGATCTAAAACTATCTCACGTACATGGTATCGTGATTCGTAACTGATTATCTGATAGCTTCGTAACTGATCGTGATTCGTAACATGTTACGAAGCTGTCAGAGGCGATTGACACTCACTAGTCACTACGAATACTTGGCAGGACCCTTACTGGTTGACCTGACCTGACCTGACCCGACCAGGACTAAATGCATGAGACATCTGATTTGTGATCCAAACTAACATGATATTCGTGAGCAGCACCCCGAAACCTCCATGGCAGTCATACTTTACGACTTTCTAACAGGTCGGTTTTCCTGACTTTTGGGTCATTGGCCCGACCTGAAAGGTCAACTTATGACCTAGGACCTTAAAATTGGGTAGCATTGGCTTCATCTCGTCACGGGCAGCACGCTCGTTTTTTTCCGCGAAGCTGTAGCTCTAGCTCAATAAACTTAATGATGATAATCATAATAATGATAAAATTAATATTTACGGACGAAATTACGTTTACGTATCACTCGATTTTTCTTGAGAAATACAGTGGAGCTAAATTCGGTGCTACCAATCGATGGTTTTAAAATAATTGAAGAAAAACGAAAGGCTTGAAAAATAGTGCTCGCCCACGGCGCCGTGATCTTTCACCCCTAGCGCCAAACCGTTCTATAAACACTTACCTCGTCATTGGTGAATATAAGGTTGACTTTTTGCCCATCATCTGCGAATAGAGAGAGAGAGAGAGAGCAAAGTTTTAATTAATGGAGCACTCGACTCGTTTCTATCTCACTTCGTATCACAAAATATCAGCAAAGCATCTATCCATGTTGATCCACGAGTCGCTGGGGGGGGGGGGGCATTAAGTTGCCCCTTTACGTTTTGTGTGATATATCCGAAGCGTGATAAGATACGAACCTAAAACTAGGTATACCTTCAAATGAATACCTAGACCTTGTGTTTTACACAAGCAGTGAGAACTCACATTTTGAGTTCAAACACGTGACTAGCCCGATAAAGATCAGGGTATATTGACTTGCAGGGTATGGTCATTTGGCAGCCCAGGATTTGTTACGGATAATGCGCAGCAAAGACATCTCTGGCGCATGCTTTTAGCATGAGGATACTTTTTACAATATATGACGTATTTATTATTTTATTACAGTTTTTTGGTGCTATTTGTGTTTTCTTTTAATTTTTACCCTTTATTTAATTAGCAATTTGAATTTACAAATAAAATATGTTTTTGTCGATGCTGTGGATATCTTTAAAAAAGAATTGACGTCATCAAAACTTGAGTGAAACAATTAACTACTTTCACGTAAACTTGACCTTGTTGGTAATGGGAAAAATGTAATGTAAACACCAGTAAAACGCCTTTTGGGCGAAGAACGAGCGAGCGAGATAGTGAGCCCTGCACGTGCGGAGGGGCGAGAAGGTACTTCCAACGGGCTTGTGCAAAGCACCCTTCTAACCGGTCGCTAGCGGTGTGCCAAATTTGAACGCAATTGGCCCAGCCGTTCCTGAGATCTGGAAGCGGCATCCTGCACGTGCGCACGTGCAAACGGGGTCCAAAATGACTTTTGCACAGCACCCTACTAACCGGTCCCCAACCGTGTACCAAATTTGAGCGCAATCGGTCCAGCCGTTCTGGAGATCTGGAAACGCCCCCTGCACGTGCGCACGTGCAGTAGCACCCTAACCGCAACACATGGGAATGCATTGCCTGGTGGGTGCCTACCTGTATGCCAAGTTTCAGCGAAATCGCCCCAGTAATTACCGAGTTGTTAAAAGGGGAACAAATTTGACACCTCTTATTGTTGTATTTTGCACGTGCACTGGGGGTGACCCACATGCATCGAGAGTATCCTATTTTTGGTAGAAGGGATGCAGCTACCCTACAAAAATTACCGCAAGACCATCGCCCAAGCGGCTGCTGAGATATGAGCCTGTCAAAATCACTACTTTTGCAAAACAGCTTGAACACCCTTGACTTTTCACGTGGCACGTGCCACGACGGTCACTGAGATGTATCAAAAATAGTCAATTACGGGGTAGAAAGGATGGGGCTACCCAACAAAAAAGACCGCAGGTCAATCGGTCCAGCGGTTGCTGAGATATAAGCCTCTCAAAAGCGTTACAGGCCGGGCCGGGCCGGGCCGGGCCGGGCCGCTCATACTGAGATTTTTCCGTTATATTGAAAAGACTCACTTCGCTCGCTGCGCTCGCTCGCTCGTAATTAATCAGTCTCGGTGCTTGAATGTTGATTTGTGGTAAAAGCTAGTTATTTCTTTGAATTGTGGTGGAGTTTTGGTTCAGTAGGTATATTTATATTATCCACCCGCTGAAATTCAATGCAAGCAATTTTGAGCTGAAATTTGTGCATCATTTGCGCTGAAAGCTGGGGTCGTGCTGTGAAACATCAAAGAACTCACCTGTTCAGCTCAAACTCACCTGTTTGGGGTTCCCTGCCTTTAAGAGTACAACATAGAGGCGCAAATGTAAGCCCCAATAAAACAAGCCCCTGGCCGGAAGTTCAGACCCTCTTCAGACCCGCTCGCAGGATGAGTCTGCTGCTAGATATACCAGCGTGCTGAAAAATTTGGTGACCACCATTCACAGTAAAATTCTGCTGCAGCCGTGCGCCGTAAAATTCAGCGGCCACCATGCGCTGAATTCAGCGCATGCAAAATTACGCCAGGCTGAGACTTGTGCTGAAATTTTTGGTGCAATTCTGCCATTACGCCGAACATATTTGGCATGTGTTTTTTTCAGTCTGGGCGTGGCCAGCCAGAGCAGCTCTGCGCTCCAAGGTCCTGTGGTGGTGAACGTCTCGCCTCACCAGAGGTGGACTGTCGATGGATGCCAAGATGCCAGCTTTCAAACACCAGGTCCCAGAATCAATGCGTAAGTATGTACATTTACCTTTTCCAGACTTAGCTCTGCCTTAATACTGCTGTGATTGTTTGGAAGACTAATAAATCTTGCATGCTTTGTACACAGGATGACTAGACTATTAGGCAAAACATTTTACCTGCATTAAAATCGTGCTAGTGAGTAGTGACCAATATGCATGTTGCTTTCTTGTCCATCAACTATTTTTTTGGAAGCATTGATTCAATGCAACTTGAATAAAAGTATGTACAGTTGTCAGTTACACATAAGAAAATACCATTTTACTTATTAGATTAAGAGTTGCTCAGTGATTGCACAGTTTCTGAAAGAAAGATGGTTACCATGATGCCTGTTGTTCTCGATTATTTGTTTTATAGGGGTGCTGCAGCGTCAACAGGCTCATGATACTTACTGCCTTTTTGTTATGCCCTTTGTCCACGCCATTGACAATATTGTTCTGCAAGAAAAAGTATAAATTAAGTGTTTTTGCTGGGTAAAGGGTGGGATTTATTTGTTTGTTTCTTTTTGTAACTACACGCTCCGCGGCTGAACCTCTACCTGTATGGAGTGTGCCGTGTCATGCTGCGCCGCATAAAAACGCATTATGTTATGCCGTCCTAATTGCCTCGCATCGTATCATTTAAGACAATAATTTAAGCGTGAGCGTAACGTGAAAGGCCACAACATTGAGAAACTCCGACACATTTTTTCCCTATTTGTTGTCAGGTCTCCGGAATGGTGCGACAGAAAGTCCGGCCCGCCTACGAGCTGCTGTCTGCTTCGTGCGGTCTGGCCGCACAGACGTACTCGGTACATGCCCGGAAATGAGAAAGATACAGCCTTCCTCTTCACCATTGACAGCGGCATGGACGTCCTCAACAGCGGCCATCCGAGGGACGCCAAAACACTGCGGAGAGGCTACTCCGGCACTCCCGGGCAGGAGGACGCCCTCTCTAAGCTGGTGGAAGAGGTGGAGAGACTGCAATTCGGCTCAGCTGGTCACCTCCCGTTCCAGAAGGGTCTAGTAGTGACAGTGAAGGTGGAGCGGGGTCTGCTCGCTGACGTGCAGCAGCGTTTTGGCCCGGACTGCTAACTGCTGCTCCGCCACGTCACCCAGAACCGGCTTTAGGGCTCGTTCAGTCACATCCACGGCTCTGGCGGCGGAAGCCCCAACCCCACGACGACAGAGGTGAAGGGGCGCCTCCGCCTGTTCACTCTGATCCAGCTTGCGCGTCACGGGCCCACGGCGTGCAGATTAAGAGTCGCTCACCCGCGGCGCTCCCGGTACCAGCGGCGGAGGTGGAGGCGGGGGCAGAGCCGGAGGCAGACGAGGACCAAGCCGACCAGGCGCAGATGGTGTGCTGGAGGCGGTATGCCCTGAGCCACCCCAAGAAGTTCAGTACCTGAGGGGACGGAGAGCCTGGAGCCCGTTCCTGACGAGCCAGCCCCGGACGCAGAGGAGGAGGCGGAGCAGGAGAGGGCGCAGCTACTGCGGGAGGCCGAGACAGTGCATATACCGCCTGCGCCCTCAGCGGCGCTGGACGCTGAGACTGGTGTGCCGGCCACCGAAGGAACAATGGCGCGTCTGGCCGGCTACATCGCCAGAAAATGCGGCCCCAGCTTCGGCGCGCTAGCGATAGCATCTGAGGACGCGCCAGTTCAGACGCTCTGGACTCGACTGCGCAGTGCGGCCGGCGGACTCACGATCCCCTCCCAGCCCTGCTTAGACCTGTTTAATCAGCTCGAGGCAGAGTTCATATATGTTTCACGTGTTCGCTGAAGTGTCTTGAAAATGCTCAAATGTGTGCCATTCGTGATTTGCCTGATGATGCAGTACAAGTACTGTGAAACGCGTTGCAGTTAATATAGCTGATGATATGTAAATGCAGTCTACATCCATATCGTGCTCAAATAATGTAGCGCACAAGCTACCCTGAGGGAGTACCCTGGTATGCTGAGTATGTTTTCGTAGTGTTACATAGCGTACCGTCGGACAGAATGGAGCTATGCTGCTGTGACATTCATCGAACCTCCCGTTTGATATTGGTTGCATACTGTGCATGTGTGCACTTTCACATATCGTGTTATCTGAAATTGAATCGACCTATGCCGCTGTGCCGCTGCCTAGGTTGCCGGCGACAGCGGCGGGGCGCATCTGATCGGCACAACGTTACAGATCAGGATCCGTCCTGTCTGGAGGTAGTCGGACCGGTGTTTGTCTAGCCAGATGTACTCCATCGTATCACTGATGTTCATCTGTAAGGCTGTGCTCTTGCCTAATGCTGCTTCCATCCATTCAGTCAGTTTTGAATTGTAATAGAGGAAGCCAGATGTCATAGATGTCTTCGTTTAAGGGATTGTTTTCGCATGTCATGCATCGGAAATACAATCAAAATAGAATTAATTGATGATCAGCTATGCAACCGCAAATCAGCAGCATCGAATCTATGTACAGCATTGTTATGCACTTCTACAACCGAAGTGATCCGACGAAACACCAGCGACCATAAGCCAAAATATAGCTTATATGCCCTGGAACCACAAGTGTTTGCTAATTCGATGCACATGAATACCGCGACTTTTCATGGAAATCAACAGCTATTATCACCGGTAACCAAAAACGTCATTGCCAGACATTCATTTCAATGATAGCAACACAGCAACGCTAGTCAATGGGATGTAGAACTTCTTTCGGTGACATATTTTGCATACTTCTCTACTTTTCTTCAGTAAAACTGACCCGGGATGCATAAGGTAATCCATTTAGCTTTCAAATGACATTAGAAGTTTTGATTTGAGTTTCATAGTTCCTGAGATAATGCGGCTAGAAAAATGGCTAAAATTAGGGATTTTCCCATAGCTCAACATTAGTGAAGGAAAAACTTCAAGCTCTGGTGACGTCACGTGAGGAGGAAGCTGCCAATGACAATGACCGGGGGCCGATAAAGATTGTAAGGTGCCCCTGAGTACCAAGTGTGTAACGTGAGTGCTTTTTTCGTATTGTGTGACTGTGATTTCTCTCACCTGCATGTTTTTACCCACCATCATGTGACTTTGGGCTGTAATAGCCACAAACTATTGTGGATTGCCCTGTTAACGTCAATACATACATACATACATACATAGGCCACATTTGAGGACCATTTGGTGATTGTAGCACTAAAGATGAAGTCACAGTGACGTAATATATTATTGTCGTTTTCCGAAGTTTCTGATGTCACTGGGCATGAAATGCAACGGTAAATAAACTTAAAGGGACTATCCCACCTTTAACATGGGGTTTGAGTTGAGATAGCCAATTTTGCGGCGAGGTTCAGAAACCACTATCTATCTAGGTTGCAACCCCCGCGGCCTCTTGGTGTTGAAGAAATTCGTTCCCTTCATTTGAAAATGGGCCTTGTACAAGGCCCTATCTTCAACATGGAGCGACCGTTAGTGTGACGTCACCTCGTTTAGTCATTCTGATTTAAATGGGTCTGTTCGTTGAAAAATCGCTTAAAACTTGGTCTGAACTTTGTTGTGGTGCCTACAGAGTAAAAAGAATCAGCTTTATGACAGTAATGTGGCCTGGGGAAGGAGGTAATTTTGGGCTGTGACGTCACATATTTGAAAGTTTGTGTTTGGAATATGGGAAGCCTAAGATGTTTAATGAAAGATAAATGCCAGAACCGTGTTCCTGGTCATCCAATCTATAATGTCGGGCACAATTTAACTGGTTTTAACAACATTTTAGAAGGTGGGATAGTCCCTTTAACAGCACTTGCTGTCATCCCGGCACATTTGAGTACACTTCCAACGAGTTCCTACTAGTGATCGGTACTATATATTCGGTTACATATATCGAATACCCATATCGCGAGGAAACTAATAAACTCGAATTTATGGACTTCTGACTCACCTACTCAATTACAAGGCTACGGCAATGTGCGCATGCGCAAGACCTTTTGGTCTCAGGCCCAATCTTAGGTAGGGGAGAGTGGGGCTAGTTGTTACAGGGGTAAGTTGTTACAAAGGAAATATCTTTAAAAATACTCTTGATATGGCGCCAATATTTACGCTAGCAGAAAGGTTACGCACATTTTACATGTCACTGCAGGCTCAGACCTGGTGGAATGCCATGTCGTCCTGTAGGCGCACTGGGGTAAGTTGTGACAGCAAAAGTATTTTTTGCTGGCCAACACTTTGAGTTGTTTTTTGTCAAGGTTATTTGTGTGAGAATGTTGAATGTATGTTCACAAAATTAAGCGATGATTTCTTTTGTAAGATCACCAAGTAAAACGCACTAGCCTATCAGGGAGCACTAGCCACCAAGTAAAACGACTACACACAATCAGGGAGACAACCACTAAACACACGTCTCCCTCGCGTCAACACCGGCAAATTAAACCTTATGCCTGTGACACTCGACCAGCTGCGACGAGTGCTTTTCTCTCTTCCAAACAAATCAGCAGCCACTGACGATGACATACCGATAGCTATATTGAAGCAAACATTTAGTACTATAGGTAGAACACTTCTCAGAATTATAAATAAAAGCATAGTCTCAGAAACCGTGCCCGATTCCTGGAAAAGGGCAGTAGTATTACCCCTCCATAAACGAGACGATCCCGCTGTCGTTTCGAACTTCAGACCCATCACACTCACGCCGACCATATGTAAGCTTGTCGAGAAGCTTGTTCACGAGCAACTTGTCTCATACTTAAACGCTGAAGGCCTCATAAACTCTGACCAGCATGGATTTTTAGCTAAACACTCAACCTGTACGGCGCTTTTAACAGTAACAGATGCGATTTTACGAGGCATGGATCAATCAGAGGTGACGATTTTAACATTGCTAGACCTGAGCCGCTGTTTCGATGTGATTGACCATGCCAACCTTTTGACAAAGCTACAGCAACATCAGGTATCACCCGGCTGGTTCAAAAGCTACCTGGGAGGTCACACTCAGCGCGTAAGGGTTGGTGATACACTGTCGGCGCCTCTGAACATTACCATCGGCACTTTCCAGGGGACGTGCCTTGGAGCGCTACTGTTCAACATCGCGTCCAACGACATTGCATGTCATGTCCCAACCGAGCTCAATGGTTTCCGTATAACATTTGTTAGATATGCTGACGACACTCAGATCGCAATCACAGGACCCCGTGCTAGGATTTTAGATATGAAAACCTCTCTAGAAAGTGTTTTAAATGTTTTACAAACATGGTTTATGCAAAATGGAATGCTTGTAAACGCGAGCAAAACTGAGATTCTTTTATGCGGGGATAGGCGCCAGCTCAGAGCAATTAGCGTGATTCCCACAATTCGTTTCTTGAACCAGGAGCTTCAATGTTCATCCAGCGTTAAGAACCTCGGCGTAATCATGGATCAAACTCTGTCCTGGGAGCTGCATGTGACTCGTGTTACCAGCCGATGTATAGGTATACTCATTGCTCTTTCACATGTTAAACATATCTTACCGCCTGATGTCTTACCTCGCCTGATCGACGCGCTCGTGTTTTCACATATCCGCTATTGTGTACAAGTTTATGGCAGTGCTAACCTGACTGTGATTGCGAAAGTACAAAAAGTGTTTAATCTCGCCGCTAGAGTGCTGTCAGGCCGCCGCAAATACGATCACATATCAGATGTACTTCGCGATTTGGAATGGCTAGATGCTCAACAGTTTGTGAAATTCTCTGACATATGTTTGCTTCATAAGATTTTGACGAGCGGTGAACCATGTGCAATTCGATCTAGTCTTTCATACAATCATGAGACCATCCATCGTACAACTCGACAGTCAGATCACTTGAACCCAGGACGTGCTCATAACAACCATGGAAAGAGACTTTTTACATATCGTGCCGCTAGCCTTTACAACCAATTCGTTATCAATGAAAACATCGATGTCACTTCAATACGCATGCTTAAACGCCAGGTTCGTGCCGCGATTTACCGTGTGTGATTATCCTGTATGACGACGGTCTATGAATAGCCCTGTACTGTGGAATGACCGGATTATGTGAAATAAATAAATAAATAAATAGCCTCTTCATGTAAACAAACATTTGAGTTCAGTCTTGTGAAAGTCGGCCGCCGCAGGGCCGGGGCATGTTTAAAGATGGTCACCCAAGACTGCTTATAGCGTGCTCCATTTCATCTGGGCGTAAATTTCCTGCAGAAAATCAAACTCCGGTCAGTATAGCAATGCATGGTTCCCTTGGCGTTGCAGTAAAGGCAAATCAGAGTTTGAGCCACTGTTTGATGAGCCTTTTCATGCGTGTGGAGTACAGTAATGGTTTATGCTTTATTGTTCTTGCCTTTCAATGAGAAAGGAAAGCATGTTTAGTATTATCCATTGGGGAGGCTTACGATCGGTTCCGATAGGACGGCCAATGACTGTTATACTGATGAAGAAACTACGAAAAAAGAAGTGTAACATGTTACCCCATATCGTGTATCAAGTTGCCCCACAATTTTTCAACTTACCCCAAAAATCTTGCTTTGGTTTTCTGAATTTCACATAAAAGTGAATATTTGTAAAGAAGTGAAAGTTTGCATGTGCTTTCCAAATTGATTCAGCTAGCATGTGACCAAATTTGGTGTAATTTCATTGAATAGCTTGGCCACTAAGTGCAGAAGACCAAAAAGTGTAACGCATAGCCCCACTCTCCCCTAAGGTTATTTTTATGTTAAAGCCTGTCTCAAATAGCCCCATAGGGTGGGGCTATTTGAGACAGTTTTAGTTGCAAAGAAATTGAAGAAAATCAAATCGGTCACGCTAGATATAATTTTTTTAACGCCATGCATTTGGAAATTGAATTTTGATCATTTTGGCAAAAATTGTTTTTTTTTTCAAAGACTGTTATATATCCTTTATATTCAATCTTTTCATTTTTCGTAGGACACTTCATTTCGGTAGGGTATAAAATTGCATCACTATATGCTAAGGCTATCATAATATGATGTGACCCACAGCTTTCAAACTGACAGGATGATCATCAAGGCCCATTTTAAAGTCATCGACAGTAAAATTTTGAAAGTAAGTTTTTGTACATATATAGCCCCGGTGACGTGATAACAGATATACCGAAAGTCGGTGGGGCTATTTGGGACAGTCTCGCTACCTTATGAAGCACACTGTCATGCATCAAACAAGGCAAAAGGTTTCCCAAAACATTTAAGTGAATGATCTGCATGATTGTTTGTTCCATTGTACATCTCCATGCGAAGAAATAACAGAAAAATGTTAAACGGTTTTGATTTTATGCCGATTTTTCTCGATCATTGCATGCTGTATCAATTGGCTGGTTACCCTACCACATCAAGTACTTGGTTAGGCTTACCTATCAGTACGTTCATGTGTTAAGTAACATTCAATGGTGTTTTTTGGTCAACCAAGGTAGACTATGTTGATTGTTGACTGAGTCAGTGGCTGATGAAGCACATTTGAAGCACATATTCATCAGAATAACTAGTTTGGTCACCAGCTAAAGGGTTATTATGTTACACTACGAACATGTAAATATTGCTTGCTGCTAAAAGTACCTACCATGAACCCACTGCACGTTTATGACCACGACCGATTCACCGGTGTTGCTTATGTCGAACGTTCGATGCACTTCAGGTAGATGGCGGTAAGTCTTCTCGGGGCATCGCATCACCGTTATCATCAGCTATTTGGCATATCCGTTGAGGTTTGACCAGGTGGGCATCATCGGGATTCTGAGACAATGGGTTACGCAATCGGCAGTACCGTTAACAATATATAATATTTTCATGAAAAATGTGCTTTGCCTATAAGCA